GCAGATCATGGTGCTGGGCGGCCTGTGTTACAACGGCCACTACAGCGACTCCATCCTGACCTTTGACCCCGACGACAACAAGTGGAAGGAGGACGAGTATCCCAGAATGCCTTGCAAACTGGACGGTCTGCAGGTGTGCAGCCTGCACTTCCCAGAGTATGTGCTGGAGCACGTCAGGCGCTGCAGCTGAGGTCTGCTTCACCTTTTGTAGAAACTGGACTGTTAGAGGACTGGGTTGTCCCGCTGAGGGGGATCAGGTGTTAAACCAGAGACCAGCACTTACCTGAAGGACAGGTGAGAACCCGACGGGCGGGGCCACGCAGCTGCTCCTCCTGGTTAACGAGGCCAGTCGATTTGTGGCTCCATCTCTTGTTGACATTTAGCTCGAACCTTTTCAGAATTACCGTTCTCGGAAAATTTAGAAAATAAACTAAAGGTTGTGGCGATTTAAAAACAAAAAAAAAAGGTTTCATTCTGCTGGTTTATGTTTGGACTGCGCTCAGTTTCCTGTTCTACAACCCGGGTTCTGGACAAGTTGGATAAAATGTAACTAAGAACAGAAAGTAAGGATTTACAAACCTCATATTTTATTTACAGTGGGACATAAACGATGTAACAAATGTTTAAACTCAGAAATGTGACCATTTTGTTGAAAAAAAAAAAAATCAGGAAGTTTTGAACTTTATTGCAGCAACATTTCTGTTTAAAGATGCTCCAGGTTCATGTTTCCTCTGAAGCATCTCTGCTTCGGACAGCAGTCTGTAAACCTGAGACCACCAGATGTTGGAGGTTCTGCAGGAACTGTTGTCCCATTCTGGTCTGATGGAGGATTCGAGCTGTTCTAGAGTCCTGGATCTTTTGCTGGCTGGGAGCAGATGTCCTAAAACCTGAGCTCAGAGGTTTCTACAGATTCTTCCAATCTGCTGGTGAGATTATAAACTGGAGGTGATGGAGATTCAAGTACAGACTACCAAACCTCTGCCCATATTTATTTCTATAAGTCTCTTTTCATGCCCGTTCCTCTGACTGAGCTGTTTATAATTGATCTCATTAGTTACTAAATGTTCCTCCGGGTGGTTCTGATCCAGACCTCTGATTGTTGCAGCATTTTGATGCTCCTGGAACAACTTTAAACAAACGTGTTGCTGACATCCCATTAAAAATAAACTGATTTTATACTTAAAATGGTCATGTTCCTTGGTTTAAATGTGATACTATGTTCCAATATGAATAAAATATGGGTTTGGTATTTATAAATCCTTGTGTTCGGTTTTAATTTTACATCATGCCTCAACTTCTTCAGACTCCTCATCTGTTGTGTTTAGGCAGATCAGTCAGGCCGGTGTCTCTCTGCTGCGACTGTATGAGACTAGTTGAACAACATTGTGTTGTTTCAGCGGGACTGCAGCTAAATTTCGCCTGTTTTGTTGCAGTTCTGAGTCTTCAGCAGCCGCAGCTCGGTGAGAAACGTCCTCCGCTGCAGAAACGCACTGGAAGCAGCAGCTTTTCCAGTTAATTCAACCAATCGCGTTTGTTTAGGTTTAGTTTTTTTCCTTCTGTTCCGGATGTTTTGTTTGATTAAAGACATGTTAGCCCTCCAGAAGTATATCAAATAAATGATAAAATCAGGTATATGACTAAAGTATAACACTGTAGTGTAGTAGATTATATAATCTGTGTCGAAATATAAACTCAGGCTGTAGGAAACGGCTCAGTTTGTCATGAGCTCACGTTACGGTTCATAGAACACCATTTTGGCTTCCAGTGCGTTCCAGCTCTGTCCCGTTTGCTTCCAGCTCACCACCGAACTCCCACAGCGTCTTCACGTCCGTCCTCGTCCCCTCACCTCGTCGTCTTGTGCGAGACAGATTCAGATTTAATGAACCCTACACGGTACCGCGGTTTTAAAGAGAGATCCACGTTCCCTGCACTTTATCGGTTCTTCTTGTGGGTGTAAATAGTTTTAAAGGTCCAGGAGTTCTGTCAGACGTTCAGCGGTGTCTGAAATGAACTCCAGGTGAAGTGAAAATGCTCCAAAGGATTCAGGCAACTCTGGACCTCACGCAAAAACATTTTTCTTTCAGCAGAGTGTTACCCAGACTATTAAAGAAGTGTTGTTTTGGGTTGAGGAGCAGTAAAGGCACCAGCAGTGACAAGAAAAATGAAGTTTTTCTGCCAAATTTCTACTCTACGTCATCTTCGACTGAAAAGAATCACAAAATATCACAAAAGTTTTGTTTTTTTTACAGTCCCACCCATTAAATTTATGCAAGAATCTGTTATTTAAATATTCTGGTACTGTAATGTCACCAAATTAAAACAAAATGAAAATATGAAATGGCGCCCGCTAAGATCTGCTAAGCTAGTTAATGTTAGCCTCAGTTTAGCTCCTTTTTTCTGCTGCCTCTTTATATAAAAAGACGAAACCAAAGAACTAAAATGTTTGCCCTGTTGTCTAAACTGACTGTTTTATTCTATAGATTTACTCAGTAAAATTAAATAAAATTAGCCTTAGCTATGACTAGCTTCAGATGTAACGGCTAGCTTTTGCAGGATTTTGCTAACAGATTTTAGCTGCGAGTTAGCCATTATGTCACAACAGAGAACCAGTCTATCAATAAATTATAATTTAATAAATATAAACATGGAAAATATTGTAAAATACCAAGTTTAAAGAGGGATTAGCTTGTATTAGCTAGCCATTAGCACAGTTTATTTTACCATCATAAACTGAACTTTCTACATATGTTTGTGAACTAAAATGTAATTTTACTTGTTTAAAATTAACGTTTAGCATTGGCAAATCCTAAGAGTCAACAATTGAAACGGCGTCCACTAACGCGTGCTAAACCAGCTAAAGTTTGCCGAAGTTTTGCTCCTTTTTTTACGGCTTTGCGGGCTAACGTTTTGCTGCCTCGTTACGTTCTACAGAATGACAGCTGAATGTTATTCTTTAGCTGTTCGCTAGCATTAGCTAGCGTTTCTTTTCTCCATTATGAACCTCTGCTCTTTGATTTAATTTTGTACCAGAACAGAAGAACTGTAAATTATTTTAAAGTTATCTTTTCTTCATTAGATGAGATAAAGAACACGAGTAAATAAAATAAACTTCGAGGTTAGCCACACCTACCGGTAAATTGGCGCGCTAGCAGTTCCCATGTATTTGACTAAACAAACCTTCACGTTTTGATTTAGTCAGAACTTGTTTATTATTTCTGCTCTTAGCTGTATTTATGTAAATGTAAAACCATTTTTCTATACATTGATAATTTTATAGTGTTTTATTTATATAATTTGTTGGCGATGCAAAAACCTTTGATCAAATGCTGTTTGAGTTCTTTTTCCTGTGTGCCAAACGCTGAAATATCTCACATTTGATGAAGGGAAATTATTATTTCTGCACTGATTTTTGTTTGTAATTATTTGTGGTTTAAACGTGCACGTGAATCCAAATGACGGCTCTAATGTTTCAAACTCGACGAGGCGAGTCTGGATGAACCAGGAGATGTCTCGAGATGTTCCTGTTTGAGGTCCGACTTCACTGGTTCCCCTCTGATCTCTGTGGTTTCTGTGTTGATTTCAGACACCAGCAGAAAGTCAGAACCGCAGTCTCTAAATCCAAACCCTCCGTTCTCGTACAGAATCTCAGAAGTTCAGCACTTTGATTCTGGAGCCCGCCAAGCCGTGCTCGATGACCAGCTCCGCGTTTATTTTATATTCATGTTTTATTTTTTTCAGCCGACTGTGAAAAGGGCTAGAGCACACCCTGGTGCGGTTCTGCTCGTCAGCTGCGTATTTAAGTTATTTATTTTATGATGTAGTGCTTTTCACTGAGCTATGCAGTAACTGTAGGGTTATTTATTATCAGAGTTGTTTTTTAATCGTGCTTCTCTTTCTTTTCGTGCTTCGTCCCAGCAGCTCTGCATGCGCCTCGTCAGGTGGACAGTTCGTCCTGCAGGTTCTGTTGTTGGACAGCACGGTTTCATAACGTTACAACTGATTATTCAATTCCTGTAGTTTGACTGAACTGGATGCAAACTATAAATAATGGGTTTTAAACATTTCAAATAATAATTTGAGTCACTTTTCCCCACACACTTACTGAGGAAACCATCATAGTTTCATGCCCTCATCATGTCTTCACTGAAGCATCACACGCCGTCCTCCTCCGTTACTGTTCCAGCTAGAAACTCGTAACCAATGATGTACTACTGTCCATATTCCAGGTACGTTCAGTCATAGCGCTGCATCTTTAGTCCACCTGTCTGCCAGTAGGAAAACAGAATAGAGGATCTAAAAAAACAACCTTGTTTTAACGACTGTATCAGAAAATGAACAAAAGATCAAACCAACATATCTTACAATCTAAGTAGAAACTCTTTGGAAACAATTTGTAACTTATTTCCAGAAATAAATGTTCATATTGGTCAACTTTCACTTGTCTGTGTGTATTCTCTTTGACTAATAGTGTGTTCTTAAACTACCGGTAATTTATTGACACATTAATTACAGCAGTAAGTGTTTTTACACAACGATACGTTCTTGACTTGCAAGGAATTTTTTGTTTTTGTGAACACTTTACTGGAGCTGCTATTCTACAAAAACAAAACATTTTGTATGTACTTCTTTTTAAAAAGTAAAGTGCAAGTTAGTATCTTTTTTAAACCTAAAATTACTGTGCATACATTTATAGTTTTTGATGGAATAGTTTGTTGCAAAATAATTATTCTAAACTCAACATGAGTGTAATGAAACGATAGAAAAGCTCCACACATCGCATAAAATGAGGTAAAAGATGTTTAAATTTTTACAGCCTTTATTTTCTATGATAATCTAAAGCTTTTCAGCAAGTATTAGTATTTTATAGATTTGAAAAGTGTAAAAAATATTTTGTTATATACGTACATTATATAAAAACAGTTGTGAATGGGTTTAAATTAACCTTTTTTTTTTTTTTTTAGATCTAAATATTATAGTCATGCTTTTGTTTTGAAAGTGTGACGTGGATGCACTTCTCCGAGTTGCCGTAGAAAAGCGAAAGCCTCCTCTATTCACGATGTCATACTTAAAATTGGTAACTACCCGTAATATGTAGTTTTTCTTTTTATTCGTAAACCTCTACTTTTCGTTCATAGTAATTACTTAGTACAAATAATTTAGTTTATGATGTAGCTTTAACCGTGTTGCCAATTTAGCCAACATCTGTATGGCACGCACGCAGCTAGCTAGCAGCCCTCGCTACCTCGTCTGTTTATTAACGATAATAATATAGATTGTTTTGCCTTTTAAGGCTTCTTATTGAACTTACTTCTTTCTGATCTTATTGTGGTGTCATGTTTGTATGAGTGATTTACAGTACGACCAAGGCAGAGCACTCATATTGCGTTTGTCCACCAGGTGTCGCTGTGGTCCGCGGCTCCGGCCCTGATGAGCGGCTCGGCGCTGACTTCCGGCGGGAGTAAAAAGAAGAGCCCAGAGCCGATTCTGAGCATCGATGAGGTGGGTTCATCAAAAGCAGGGTTTTAAAGATGGAATAAAGAAATAAAATAAAGTTTTTATTTAATCGATTTGTTTATTTAAGTCATTAAAATGTACATCAATATCTGATTTGATAAATATTCAGCTTAAACCTCTGCAGCAAAATGTAGTAATCATGTCAAAAATAAATAAAAACACAAGACCAGCTCATGATGGAACATAAATTGACTGTAAGTGATTAAAGTGTGATCCACACAGTTGCAAACAGTCAAAAAATTACTAGAAATAATCTGAAAAAGGCAATAAATAAATAAAAACTTTACAAAAACAGCCAAAAGTCTAGAAGAAGGTTAAAATATTAGTTAGGTTTAATATTATTAAAAAAGGAACAATATAAGTAAAACATAAGCATACAGAATAGAATATAATACTTTTATTGTCATTGCACCTAAATACAATAAAATTTGGGTTTGCTTCCCAGACCAAAAGTAAAAACAGTATAATATAAATATATATATAAATAATACTGTAATAATATTTACAGGTTTTAAACACCCAAATGTGCAACACAAGCAGATTGATATTACACAAGTTGTCCCTTATTGCACTTGTTCAGTTCTTATTACAGCTCTTACCAAGTTTAGTAATGGCTGATGGGCAAAAACCATTGTTAAATCTGTTTGTTCTTGTCTTGATTGATCTGTACCTTTTCCTTGATGGCAACAGTAAACAGATCATGTGATATCAGGTGAGACAAACAAACATAAAAATACTGTTAAACTATAAAAGCTAACATTAAAACGGTTCAAATTAAGAAAAAATATGGAGAGAAAAAAAGAAAAAGGCACAAAACTACAGGGATGCAAAAATATCCAAATAGTTAAAATTTAGTAAAATTATAAAATTACCACTGAGATCAATGTTTAATCATGATGAAACACAATTAATACATTAAATTTGTTTACAAGTGATCACAGAGGCAGAAAAATAAAACGTGAAACAATTGCTAAAACTTGGAGAATGTCCACTAAAAGATAAAATAAATATTTAAAGCTTAAACGGCTGCTAATAGATTCAGATGGACTCAAAGTACCACAAATTTGCCTATGAAGGTCTGATGGGGTCTGTTTTTTCAGCTCTTATGTGGTAACGTCTTTGATGCAACATCTATATATATATATAAAAAAAACTTTAATATTTTTGGTCATATTGAAATGAATGGGCATCAATTTTTTTGCTTTTAAGTTTTGTTTTTCTAATTTTAGCTGGTTTGTTTCCCTCCTGTGTTCCAGCTGCCGTCTCTGTACACCCGACCCGAACCAAAGCCTCCATCGGAGGCGCCGGAGCCGAGTCATCTGGAGCAGAGCGTCGCCTCGCTGAGGAGGCGTGCTGAGCCGTACGTGGACCTGGGTCAGGTGAGTCCAAGTCTGAATGCCTCACAGCTACATTAAAGGTGTAAAAAGTTAAATTTAATTGTTTTTTGTTGCAGCGAGCTGTCCAGACTGCGTTGGAGAAAGTTGAAGTGAGTTTTTATCGAACCTGAACAAAGTATGTTGCTTTTATTCAGATTGTTTTCATCTTTTGGTCTCTTATTTTGTTAATTAAAAGTCAAGTTTAATTAAATGTTTCAAACCAGATTTTTATTAAAAAGTCTTCATGATTTTCACACTTTTCTGCTGCGTTTTTATCTGTAACTGACGGAGTCTGAGACAAATGAGCTTTAATAGACTGAGCTGATTGTTTTTAACTTTACCGTCTCTGTTTGTTCTCAAACTGCAGCAGACGTACGGGAGGATGGAGCCGACCATAAACACGTCAGTGACGACTGTCAGCGGTGAGAAAATCACTTCCTGTTTCTTAAACGAGGGGCCAGTTTGAACCGCTGAGTCATGAGTCAGAGCTGCACATCTTCACATGTCTTTAATTTAGGTCCACATATTTCCTCTCCTCCTTGTTGTGTCCTTCAGAGACGGTTCAGTTTCTCAGTGACCCGCCTCCGGACCTTTACCCCAGCGTGGCTGTGGTGGGGTTCTCCGGCTTCCTGGGACTTTATTTGGCCAAAGGTAACAGAAGCTTCAGCCTCAGGTCTGAGATCAGCGGCTGTTTGTCCTCAGAGGAGAAACTCTGAGCTCTTCAGTCCCGATCAGGACTTCAGCTGTTTTCTCTGTCTTCAGGCTCCAGGATGAAACGATTCCTGCTTCCTGCTGGACTCATGGCTCTGAGCGCCTCCATGTTCTACCCTCAGCAGGCGGCGGCACTGTTAAAGGTCCAAACACACACACACACACAGCCTTCATCATGTATGATGCCATGAGGTGAGAGCTGAGTTTAACCAAAATCCTTAACTAATTTGGTCAAAAGTTGTTTTTCAAACAGAAGATTAAAAAAAGTCTGATTTCGGCTTCTCCGTGTCCGTCAGCTGAAGGTTTTCTCTGTAGATTCAGCTACTGGCTCTGTTTTTGTCTTTTTACCTTTTAGCTTGTTCCAAACCATTTGTTACCATTAGTGTTTCTCTTGTATTTGGCGCCTTTTAGCTAGTGTTTTACTGCTGTCTTCTGCTTTTAGCAAATTGCTACATTTAGCAATTTTTTTGCTACATTTATCTTTTAGCTAAAATTCACTGTTTTTACTTAGCATCTTGCTATGTATAGTTTTTAGCTACATATTTGCTAGCCTTTTTATGTGTTTACCTTTTTGATAACTTTTTAATACTTTTACCTTGTAGCTAACCTGATACCACTCTCAGCTTCTAGTTATCCTTTTGCTAGTTTTAGCTAGCTATTTGGTGGTTTCAGCTTCTGGCTAGTTTTTTAGTATTTCTAGCTAGTCCGTTGTTCGTTCTTGCTAGCTTTTTACAACTTTTAGCTTCTAGCTAGCTTTTTGCTACTTCGACCTATATTTTTGGTACTTTTAGCTTAAAATTATTTTGGTGTGGTAGTAGCTGAGAGTCATCCTCAACACATACTTTGTCACTCTGTAGCTAAAATCCATCTCATTAGCTAAAGCTACAAAGTTTTATTTAAATTTTCAGTTGTTTTTATTCCCTTAAAAAAGCTGAAACATTAAAAATCCCTTTGTTAATGCCAGTTTTTATTTTAAATTTGAGGGGGAAAAAATGTACACAAACAATAACTGACAACTTAATCCTCTTCTTGATGATGATTTTAGCTTATTTAGTTGTGTATTACATGTATAAGAACACAAACTATGAGCTGAAACTGTCTGATACATTAAAGCTGTGCATAAAAAAGTAACTAACCGTCTGTTCTGGTTCTTTAGTCTCAGGAAGCAGCTGTCGGCTCTTTGTGTTAGCAGCTTAAATGAGCTCATTTTAACACAAACTCCAACCCTGAGCTGTAAATCGAACTCTTCAGACTTCAGCTGTTTGATCTGCTTCCTGTCAGGAAACGTTGTTTCCTCAGAGGAAGTTTGAGCCGTGCATGTGCTTCTAGTTTTAATTTTATTCTCACAGATGTGATAAGACACCATCAGGCTGTGGATTTTAACACGAGTCGAGTTTTAACGAGTAACAACGAACTGAACGTCAAACCAGCTGAGGAGGACGTTAAAAAACACAAACGCTTGTTTTAGGTGACAACTCTGCTGAGTTATACGTACTGTTACTGTGGTAAAACATCAGACTGATACTTACAGGTTACCTATTGGGTAATATACTGGGTACCTACTGGGTAATATACAGGGTACTTGCTGGGTAATATACAGGGTACTTGCTGGGTAATATACTGG